GAGACCAGGATGTCGTGGGGCACAGTTAAGTGTCTAAGTCAAGCAATAAACCCTGGAGAGCATCAGTTGTTCTCCTTTGGCAATGGGTGGAGTCGAACTAGCTGGCTTAAGCTGGGTATTTAATACTTAAGCAGCTAAATCTGAGGTGAGACAAGTTCCAATCTAGAGCTCAAGCTGTTGCTGCTGCTTCTTGGTGAGTAGAAGGATGACAACTGGGAACATGTCACCCTTTGTGGGCTCAGGCAATTCAGGTAATTAACTTGGTTGCTGTTTCTGCCCAGTGTGGAAAGGATTTATAATTTTGTTCAAGATTGACTGGTATACCAATTGCTTGAGATGAGTCTACACACCACTAATCACTTGTGGATCACTTACTTTTTGAATGTCAGGTTTGGAAGCATATGGAATATCTATTTATTTGTTTTTCTCTTTTGTGATGCCAACTTGATGTTCTTTAGGGCATCTAACATGGACTCTTTTTATCTATACTGGTTATGGGAAGAGAAGCTAGATTTTGATCCTATCAATTTTAACTGGAAATACAATTTTAATTCTGCCTTCACATTGGATATCAATTTCCCCTTCAGTGGGGCCCAGTCCTGAAAAGCATCATTTGTGTAAACATACATCTCAGTTGCACCTTAACTACAGTTGGGCTTAAACGTATTCCTCTTAGCTTTTCTTAACCAAAGGTGAGCTAAAAGTGCTACTGAAAGAGGATCATTCAAAAAGGCATTCAGATGATTTGCTACAGTGTCAAGTTTTGTATTTAGGAAAGGGTATAAAAGCCTTCCAGAATCCCTTCTGTAGTGGCTGTGCATGCTCTTAATAGAATATAGTCAGTTTTTGGAAGGTTATTACGCAGGAGTTGGAGCCCTTGGGAGCTGTGTGAAGCACTGAGCAAACACCTGGCAAAGCAAATCCTCCTAAGTCAGGAAAAATGCCCTCATGGTTTTTGCATGTGTCTGTGGCTTTGTATGAAAACAGAACATTTCTCTACTATCCCTTTATTTCACTCAGTGTGGCAAGTTCATTTAAAAATAGGACTGTGATATTTTGTCAGCTCAGACATGAACACACACATACTGCTCTTCTCGTTTTAGCATCTGTTTTCATCCCTGCACTTTTCAAGGTGCTTGTAGTTAACATGTGCAGATTGGTTTCTGTAGACAGCACCTTCATTGCTCACTAGCCCCATTGGGTGCTTGCAGCTCAGAGGCTGAAGGGTGCCACAGTGACACTTGTCAAAAGTACTCAAGATACCCAGCAGTCATAGCAGGTGTTTTGAGTGGCCTAAAAGGCAGCAGTCAGGCTGCCAATGATGAAGAAAGATGTAAAATGTACTTTAGTACAATACTGTGCTAAATGTCTGTGTTTTCTTCCATTTTATCATAGATCTGGAGTATGAAACAAGACAGTTGTGTCCATGATTTACAAGCACACAACAAAGAAATTTATACTATCAAATGGAGTCCTACAGGACCAGGAACAAATAATCCAAATGCCAATCTTATGTTAGCAAGGTACTATTTAATCCTGTTTTTTAAGTGCATGTTAAGCATTATTTTTACTTCCCTTTTTGTATGTGTAGGTGCACAGAATGTTTTGAATCATGTAGGATACTTTATTGTACTGTGTTTGTATTAGTAACAAAAATATGTGAAGTTGAGCTGTAATTAATCTGTGTTTTTTCCTTGACAGTGCATCCTTTGATTCTACTGTCAGGTTATGGGATGTAGACAGAGGAATTTGTATCCATACTTTGACAAAGCATCAAGAACCTGTGTACAGTGTAGCTTTCAGTCCTGATGGCAGGTACCTGGCCAGTGGCTCCTTTGATAAATGTGTACACATCTGGAATACACAGGTATCGCTTTGCTCTCTGTTCAGAAGTTTGTGGTTTGGTCTTTTCCATCAGCACCCTTCCAACCTTTGTTGCTCTGTCATGTTTCAGCCATAAAGAGCTTTGCCCTTCCTAACAGGCTGATTCACTTTCTCTTTGTTCTGAAGTTACTTTTGTTAAAAGATGTACATTTATTTCATTTCTGTCTTTGAGTGCTTGCCTACGGTGAAGTAATAATTGTATTTTCATTGTTTTTACTTAGAAAACAAATAAACAAAACCCAAACAAAATAGCAACCAAAAAAACCCACCACCACCAAAACACATTCAGAAAAGTGTCTCCAGAGACTTTTTGCATCCAAAAACTCTGTTTGTTAACTCTGAACTTTAAATTCCTGATAAAACAACGGGTTTTCTGTGAAAAATGATGAGTGGCTGTAGGCATACCAATGTGATAGCTCTTTCATTGAATTTCACTGAAAAACCAAGGGTGTAAAGTGAGAGAAGATGATGATGTCAGAATGTTTCTACGTAACTTGCTAAGAAAGGACACTATTACTTGTTTTGTCTTTGGGGCAAAAAAAGGGCTGATTGCAAATCCAAGTCTAAAGATGTTGTTAAGCCAGATGTGCTCTCTGGCTACTGGGGATTTGCTATTAATTTTTGAAAGGCTCATTTTAGTAATTGGAAGTAGGCATAACCGTCACCAGTTTTGCCTGTCAAACACCAGGGATCAAGACGCTATAGCGGTGTTTGTCACATCCTTTGACACAGTGCTGAGATTGTCCATGGGTCTCATCTGGACCATTTCCTCTGAGAATGTCAGCTTTTAAAAGCAGTGGGGAAATTTTACATGTTGTACAAAGTTTAGTTGTTGTTTTGTTAATTACATGTTATGTTAATTACATGTTTTGTCCCTTTTCAGACAGGTGCCCTAGTCCACAGTTACCGGGGAACAGGAGGGATTTTTGAGGTTTGCTGGAATGCAGCAGGAGACAAAGTTGGAGCCAGTGCTTCAGATGGTTCAGTAAGTGCTGCTTGACTTGGTTGACGCTCTAACAAGAAGCATCTCCTGGAAATCTTTTGACTTAACAATGGAAACAAACTTTCCTTCTGTAGCTGAAGTTTGAATACAGCCAACTCAGCTGCAGATTTTCACCTGTAAGGAAGCTGTAATGATGTAAGGAGAATGTCTTTATACCAGCATAATGCATTCCTGAGTTGACAAATTTCGAAGGTTTAGAAGGGAAAAATACCTCTTAATTTAGATTTTCTATCCTTACTGGGGCTTGCTACAGAACTGTGCTCAGTGCGACTGGTCTTTTCACTGTGATGTGAAAACAAGTTCCTTTTTGCCTCTTTGCCCTTTTCAAGTGAAAATGTTCAGCGTAGGTAATATTATAATGTGTGATAGGAATCAAATGTCTTCTGCATTGCATTCAACAGAAAGTAGAGCAAAATAAGGTACAAATTTCTGCATCTTCATAATTAAAAAGTTCCTAAAAATGGCAGGAGCTCTATGTAAATCCCAGTCTGCTTACTTTGCTTAGCAGAAGCAGGGACTAAAATGATACATTTAATCATGAATGTACCCCCTGTCATCTAGTGGGGTGTTGTAGCATCACCTCCTGGCTCTTCTGACATGTCTTGCAAAGTGCTGCAGTAAAATATTAACATGTAGCTCTTCAAAAAAAGTACAAGACTTGTTTGTTGCTTGCTTCTTTTTTGCTGTAGTTTTAAAAGAAAGGAGAGCCTAAGGAAAAGCAAAATTAGAATAAAATGAGAGTGGTAGAGGATTTGTACTTTGAAGTGCTGTAGCTTAAAGTAGCAAATGTCAGCAAAAAGTAATCCTGGCAGTGCTGTAGTCCAGTCTCAGGTGCCAGAGCATTCTCCTGCCCTGCATGCTCCATGCTGGTGACAAGGTTGCTTGGTTAGAGTTCAGAATAGGAAACAGGAAGTTCTGAACTGTAAGTAGACTAAATTCTAGAGAATTAATTTTGATCACTCTTTCGTATCATTTTAGTCTAGACAATATCAGAAAAAGAACAAAAGCTTAAGGTATATCCTGAGTAGAAGGTATCATTCACCCCTAGATGACCCTGTTATGTACATACTGTGTAACCTTTCCAGTCTTCCAGTAAATTTGGCCAAGGAGCCTGGATTGCATTTGCAACAGATTTCATTTAATTTCTGTTCTTTTAAAAACGTTGGGTCTACTTTGTTTCATATTGTTTGGTAGCAAAAGCCTGTTTTCATCCCCTGTGCTGTAAATGTACTTACACCTGATAATAACTGGGGAAATGCAGGCACTTCTGAGCTGTTCGATGACTGGAAGTATAGCTTGTATATGGTTATATTTTACTGGTGGATTTCTGTATCTGACAGAACCAGAAGCACTATTTGGTGAAGGTTTTGAGAAGAGTAAAACTGGAATTTGCATAGTTACTTTTTTTTTTTTTTTTTTTCTTTTCAGAATTACTCTGATCAGTTCTAGTATTCGCTCACATATTTTCAGTTTCGTTGTATTATGGTTTTTATAACCTACGTTCAGGTAAATTTTTTCTTTCTGTCTGTTGCAGGTTTGTGTATTAGACCTACGGAAATAGCGCTACTAGTTGGAAGCCATGGACCGACTATGAATGTGTACATAGCCAAAATGACTGTCCCTGACCCACGTACTGCTATAGTCCCAATTGAACCATGGCCAGTCCACTACAGCCAAACGTCAAAGAAATATATACATATACTGTATATAAAAAAAAAAGGAGGAAAAAAAAAAATTACACCCTGAAGAGGATGACAGAGTTTTGTCACAGCTTGTGAATCCTGTTCACCAAGTGCTGGAATCTGCTGTGCCCCAAAATAACATTTAAAGGTTTTGGATATGAAAAACAGAAGAGAGAGCGAGAGAGAGAGAGAAATATACCGTATACAAGAGCAGACCCATATACATACAAATGCAGAAGATACTAATGGCAGCCTTCATTACCCCTTCCCCCCTTTACATCCATTATGACAATGGATTGTGGGGTTGTTTTGTTTTCCTTCTCGGTAGTTGAGCAGTTTGTGTGTACAGAGAAAACGGACTTACATAAATCTGCAGCAGTAGTTTTTCCTTTGCTTTTAAACATTGGGGTTTCTGTTTTGTTTTGGTTAAGTTTACGGATGCATGAAGTAAGGGAGTGAATTAGTTTCTCGTTTTATATTTTTTTTCACCTTGGGGAAAAAAAAAAGTTTCTTTGAAACATCTTTTAATACATTCTTTGAAGAGGTAGATTGAACCTGATAACATTTGGTACATTTTGTGGCTCCCAGAGCACAATTTTGTAAACGGAGGGAGGGTGGAAAAGGGATTATGGAGAGAGAAGAAAAAAAGAAAATCCTTCTTTGAGGCGTGATGTTTCATGTCCTGCTCATCTCCGAAGTATGACAGTAATGGGTATAATGCTATGTTTTATTTTTCTGGTGACATGGCTGAAATGCAGTAGTTTCTTATTTGGGACGTAATTCTGCCAAACTTAAGAACAGAAGGGCACAAAAACAGGAAAGAAAAACAGGGATGCAAAAGGAGAAAAAAAAAAAGAGGAAAAAATGCATCTTCTGTTGCTTTAAAACCATAGCTAAGATATGGTTAAATTGTGCACTATTGTGAAAAGGAGCAAAGTGTAGCTGGGGGATTGCTTTTAAGAGGTTAAGATCTTTCTGGACAAGGGTTCATGCCACAGCTTCTTTGAGAGTTGCCCATCATTATTTGTAGGAGCTTAGATGTATAACTGTAACCAAACTCCAGTATTAGAGGTATCTCATGTAATTTTTCTTTATTGAAATAAAATCTTTGGCGTATATTTGATAACACTGCCATTAAGAGGCAAAATGTTTACTACCTTAGATTGAAAAAACCTTAAACAGAGGACTTGCTTCAAGTTTATTTTAATAGCAGTGATTCAGCTTATTTAAAAGATGAATACTTGCACTAATTCCCCTGCTGCTCCAGTCCTGCAGTTTATTGTATCTTGTGACTACATTTTTTTCCAAATATAGGGTAGATGTAAGCTGCTATTTTTTTAATAATCACTACTATATAGTGTCTTTTACTCTGTTTACAATATCAAGTATTTTTCTTACAATGACAGATGTATATGGCAAACCTTTTTCTGCTCACGTGATTAAAAGTATACCGATAGTGATTTTATTTGTAAATGATAGCATGAGGTTGTGTTTACGCATATGTGTAGTCAAAAAGGTTGCATCGTGTCTTGCATAAGATTCCAAGAGTGTAAATTTATAAAAGGAGAGGTTGTCAAATTTATGTCACAGGCATTTTACTTAAGGAATGGTTTATATTACAGAGCTTTGCAAAGTTATCAGTTTTATAACACTATTTCAATCACAAATAATTTTGTGACTTATGATTGCGAGTCTCTAACCAATTTTTGGTGTTCATTTTGTCATGACCCCGTCCCCTCCCCCCCAGGTTAAGTATAAATTGATTTGAGATAATGCAGCTTTGACATTTTAACCGTCATTCTTCAGGCATTGATTTCTGCTATTTCCCTGGAATAAACACGACTTGAAGCAAGTCTGAGTTTGGCTAAGGTAGGGTAGCAATTTGCCAGTGGTAAAAGAGAAGTCGACAATACGTTCTCTATATATGCACCCCAGGATTCTAATACTACTGTATACAGCGTTTAAAACCAACAAAAAGTCATATCCATAAAGACAGTCATCTGCGGTGGTTTGGTGCCAGCTGTTTTTAGGGGTTTGGAACATATTACAAATATTTAGAGCAATTACCCTGTGAGTTACGAGACATAGGAAACCTAATATATTGAGTGTCTGGCACTTGAAATATTGCTTTTATTGCTGGAGGTCCATGACTGTGGCTGACCTCTGTCATTTAATGAAAAAAAGAAATAAAAAAAAATTCTGTGCAATAATTTTAAACTGTGCTCCCAGGAATAGACACAAATGTTTTGAGTATGTTTAAGCTGCATTTTTCGTTTAGCAATGCATTTGTCAATTGCACTGAATTTAAATCTGAAAGTCAGAAGTGATTCTTGATAGTACTTTTGTATTTTAATATGGACAGTTTGTTCATTTTCATAAAAGTCATTGGATGATTCTTTCAGCCAATCTAAACAATTGTAGTGGAGTTCTGTGACATAGCTGCAAAATCACACAGCCATGTTTTAGGGTATCGCCGTTCTCCTCTTTCTCAGTCATCAGCTGTTTCGGTTGTAATTCTAGTCACTTAAGCACAGAGTCACGCGTTCAGAAACAGGTGAACCAGAGCTTCAGAGTCAGAGGTGCAGGGGTTTCGGGTGCCGGAGCACAGTCCGGCAGGAAGGTCAGGGCTGTTGATGGGAGTGCTCTGGACACGCAGGCTGAGCCCCAGCCCGGGGTGCCCGCAGGGCCCCGCGGCAGTGGAACGGGGCCGGCTGCTGCCAGCAGCCTCTGCCCGGGTCCTGCGTTATTGTCATCCTGCACTAGCGTGCCACAGTGCTGCTCCTGCTCATGTTTGGCTCGCCTCGGCGCCTGCCTGCCAGGCCTGTGAGGCTCTGTGGTTATGTGAAGCAAGAAGGAAAAAAAAAAGAGAGATCCGTGAAATTAATTATTACTTTTTATAGCGCAAAGGCCTCGGATTCAGTGCTGAGGTAGACTATCCAGATTGTCCCTTTAAATTGAGGACGCCACACGTCAGTGAGGCCCGAACTTCTAGCACGTGCTCGGTCTCTCATACCGAGCGAGTCTGGGTGCGCCTGTTTCCCGGGGCGAAGGCAGACGTGTGCACGAGCCTTTGAGTACCTGACGGTTCCTGCTCTCTCCTGTTCAACACGTTAATGGGCAAACAGCCAAAGAGAGGATAAAAGGAAGGGGGAAAGCTGGGCTCAGAATCAATGGTGGAATAGGAAACCAACTGCTCTTGAGTTCGCTGTCTTTCTATGCATCCATCTCACAATCCCGTTTCCCGTCTCTGCATAATTAGGTCCAGGTTTCTGTAGAGTTCCTCTTTTTCTATTTTTACTTTACCTTTTTCTGCATTTTTAAATTGATGTAAAGATTCCCAACTGGTGGACTTTTTAGTGTAGTTAAGAGAATATCTAGGTCCTCATAAAAGCTTTTTTAGACTCTTTATAATGTTGATAAACTCAGTTTATTCTGGGACTACAATTGTGCAGGGTTATTTAGCGTGTCTACTAGATGATTGGAAATCTTATATGAAACACTAAAAGTGCCTCTTTTTCTGGGTTGGGTGGAGGGAGGTAATAGTTACCAGAGTCAGAATGACATGGCATTTTGAAGCATGTTTCTTGATTTCATGACACTTTAATGCATCTTGAGAGAAAGGCCAAAGATTTCTACCAATTTTAATTAATTTTTGTTTTAAAAAGCACTCCTTTTTCCTTACACTGCTTACCTCATGTCTGAGTATTTAATAGGACGTTGTACCTTTGAGCTGTTCATTGTGTTTGGGAGGAATAGTAGGTGGCATCGGGCGGCTGTGCCAGTTTGCCTGCGGAGCACTCTTAGCGGCCACTGCCTTTAGTTCTGCCGAATGAAGGAATTCCATTACAAGCGCAAACTGGGGTTTTCAGCTTGTATATATAAAGGTTGTATGTTTTTGCCTGTTTAGCGAAGAGGAGCCTTGGGACCCAATTTTTCCAATCTTTACTTAACCAGAAATCCCATCATCTTTCCCTTTTCATGAGAAAACCTTGCCCGACTGAGCGCGGGAGGCGTTGGGTCTGTGACACCCTGCGTGCCCCGCGGGCAGAAGGAGCCGCGTCCCGCTCAAGCCGGGACTGCCCTCGGCTCCAGCGGGGCTTTGCTGAGCAGGGTGCTGGATGTAGCCTAGTGTTCCTTTTTCACTGACAAGTGTGATAGCTTCTCCCTTCACCGAGTCCTGTAGAGCCCTTCCCCAGTGGGATCAGTTTCACACTCTCCAGAAGTCTGAAGAAAGCAGAAGCAACATTGTGGCATGTTAGAAGCAAATCTGGCTTCGGGAGACAGCAGTAAATCTCCATCGAGATCCCTGAGATTTTCCATAGGGCAAGAGCCATGGAGCAGTCTTCACTTCTCCCTCTAGAGAAAGCTCTGAAGTCCCACGTTCTGTGAAAGTGTGGCTGTCTTCACCGTCAGTCTGGCGGAAGGCAGACGAGCCAGGAGAATCTGCCGTTTCCTGCGGATTGCAGGTTTAGTGTTAATAGTGCTTCAGATCAGTAGTTTTGAGTACATAATTCGCTTTCTCTGCCTTTAAGTTTGAAGCTTGACAATAACTTGAGGCATGTTTTTCTTTCTTTTTCTTTTTTAAATAATCATTCATTTTTACTTCATAATGTTTTTTGACATTTGTGGGTAAATACAAGAAAACAGTCTGCATGTTGTTGCTAGTCCAGTGTACTTTGCAATCTTGTCCTCAACAGACTGCGGTGTGCAGAACAGTAATTCTAGAATACAGAAGTAATTTTCTCTCTCTCCTGACATTGACATTGTAGTTGTAATGGTTTCATTTGGAGTTACAAATCCTTTGGGTCTAATTCTGTGAGCCTACCTATAGCACTGGATTAAAATGTCTGCATCATTTCTTCAGTTACCCAGTTAAATTACAACTGTTGTAAAAGTGTAAACCAGCCCATGACAGTTTTTTGTACTTGTTTAAAGGACTTTTATTGTTCAGTTTTCATGATTATTGTCTAAAGAAGACTGATATAGATGTTCTATACTGTCCTGGACCATGTTAATTACACTTTATGATGTATTTTGGTTCTACATCACAATGATTTGTCCCCAGGGCCCTTATATCCCTTCTAGGCACATTTTCTGTTGCAGTTTCCCTTTGCGTTGTATTGCTTTGACAACTGTAATTTGAATCAGATCTGAAAGAGGTCCAGAATAAAATATATTTTGATATTAGCTTGGCTGAATGTTATATACTGGTAATTTGAAATGTTGGTTGCAAAAGATTTGCCGGTTATTAAGCCGGGGAAGCGGTGGGCTGAAGCACTATTTTTAATACTAATTGGGCACGTTTTCATTTCGGACAGTCTGTGAGGAGCAGTGGGAGGGATACATTGAACACACACAGCAGAGCCTCTGAAACGGTGAAACTCTCCTCGGGCAGCACGAACAACACTACTGTTGATTTAGACAAACAGATTTTGGACACACTCACGCGTGCGTTTTACCTGCTTCCACTTGTGGGAGAGAAACTGAGACTGGTGACACTGGCAGCTGCAGCCAGGGGGTGAGAAGACTGGAGGGGTGGGAGCAGGCTCCTGCAGGGTGCTGCAGTCTCATGCCAGAGGAGATCTGTGCTTACGGCGATTAAACTTGGTCACGCAAAGGAACAGTGCTTGTGCTACTGTATTTCAGGTATTTGAAACCACTTAGACCCACATGTGAAATAACCTGCATCCATCTATACACAATGATGGTTTAATTCCTTTAGAATGGAGGGGTTGTGTCATAATCCAGGAGAAGGAGCACAGATGGGTTATTTTCAAAGTTGCTAAAACTTTATGGTGAAATTACTGTTTTTTTCATATAGACTATTTATTTTGCTATAATATGTTCAAAAGAAATAGCTTTA